TTTGCAGCCTACGTTTCTATGCGTTTTTTATTCATTCATATTGTCTCTGAATTTTTACCTTTCCGAGTTTGGGTTTGTGCAATTTTCAGTTTTCAGTTTTCAGTGTTCAGTTTTCGCAAATACAATAACATTTATTCCCTACGGCGAGTTTATGCGCTTAATATCCGCATTATATTTTAAATTTCTGTTTACTTTGCTATTTACTTAAGCAGTATCCTTTTTTTGTGTGTATATCCTTGCACATTGACTCATTCTTAATACTTCATTTTTTGGTAATATTTGCTTAGATGGCTGCAGAGTTTTTGGCTTTATTTGTTTTTAGTTTTGCAAGACACCTTTCCGAAGGATATCGCATATGACCCTTGAAAGTATATAAATATTTTTAAAAAAATATTGTTAGCAAAAATTGTTTGTTTAGTTCTTCACTTCTCTTGCGAATAAATACTATATTTGTTATATTAAGTCCTTTAAATTTATTAATTCGCAAAGCGAAAGGCAAAAATTGACTAAAAATTGCAATGAAATCATAAAAAATTGTATGTTATTGTAAGAATTTAATTTTCTATTTGGTTAAGATAAAATTATTTTTCTCTACCTAATGGATTCGATGGCATAACCATATGGGTCATGCTCATTATATTGATTATTAATAAATTCTATTGACTATTTATAAACCAAGCCTACAAATTCTTTTCATATCTAGTAAAATATCTAGTAATGTAAATTACTCATCACTTATATGTACTTCTAACTTTATATATTTTCTAACATTCCAAATAATTATACAAAGTATAAAATTTTCATATTATCTTTAGAAAAACACGTCGCTGTCTTGCACTTTTGCTTGCAAACAGCATATATTAGTTAATATTAGTACTAAAATATAAACAATCTTAACTGTTTAACCAATATGCTAAAAGTTTAATCAATTATCTTTAAAACGCAACATATTTCAAGTTTCCATCATTTATATAGCCTGAGATATGGCCATCTGAAAATATGTCTACAATGCTAATTCTTAAAACCACATGGGTCCATATCTTCTAGGAAAAAAATTACAAAAATATTTCCTCTTCGGCTCTTTTTATTTCATGAAACGAGCTCATAAAGAAATGTCAGCCAAATCGGAGGTCATGAGGTCATTTTTTGCCAAAAAGAATGATAAATATATATAGTAATTAGTGATGTTATCAAGCACTTTAGCTAGTTGTTTAATCATAAAGGGTATAGGGGATAAAGGGTATTCATACCAGATCCAATAGCGAGCAAATACAAATTACTATTTATATTGGAGAGTCGCAGAAACAAATACATACGTTCATGAATTTTTTCTAGAAAATTAATAATACGGTCATAATGTTATATTTAGTTTAATTACTATTTTATTTATTTTAATTGATTTATTTGGGATACTATAAAAATAAAATGATGCAATTTTACCAAAATATACCAAAAAAAAATTATCGTAAGTGTGGTAGATGAGAAATTTGTTGCGGGTCGCAGAAATATTAGGAGCGATTCGCATGCGGCTCGTTGTAGGTGGTTTTGACAGCTCTGATATAGGTCAATTCATATGCAATAGAATATTTGCAATTTATGAAATAACTTCTTAAATGGTATTCGGAATTTTTCATAAACTATTAAATATTTAGGATGTAGTAATACCTCATAATGTAAATCAAAATATTTAGTGAATGTATTACCAACTTATTAGATAGTCTTTCTACAATGTACATATTCGACCATATGGTCTGTATGGTATATATTATTTATAATATATATTGAATATTTTGCCGAAGCTTATCCCCAGTAAATTCATTTTTCGTGGAATCTTTCTTCAAAAAATAAAATGTTCTCTCATTAAATTTCCCATAAAGATATCAGTCTCGTGATAGGTTTGCTAACGTATCGCATCTAATGACGAAAATATGTTAAAAGATTGAATCTATCCATTAATAATTTCTGTTATTATTTCTAATTAATAATTAATTAATTATTGATTAATTATTATTGATTAAAAGAACATTTAATGAATGAATTATGAAACCACCCGCCCACATAGTTGCACCTATATACCTGTCATAAAGAGCTTGTAAGCTCATTACTAAAAGAGGTAATGAGGTACATTTCTAAAAACAAGTCCCAAAAAATTTGGAGTGTGTGATTCTTCTTTGAGTTTACTGCAAATGAATAAATTAAATTTGTGTTAATATCTAGAAAAACTGTTGCAAGCAGAAATTGCTTCAGTGGTTAATTAACTATTGATATAAAGATTTGTTATGATTATGAATTGATATAGCACTGCGTTAGTCCACTCTTTTTCAGGTAATAAATGCAGCTCTTGATGATTCCATTAAAAACATAATACGTTTATATGAACGTGTTTCAATGTAGATTACATAAAAATTAATTGAATTATTTTCACAATAAGTAACAATATTCTTACAAACTTTTTAGATAAACTTTTATTAAATTAATAAAGACTAACTGATTTCTTATCATATAATTCGTTTATATAATAATTCCATTCAAATTCCATTCAATGCATTAAATCTGCTTAAATTTGGCCACCAACAGTTTGGTGTCAGATATTCAAAATAACATAACCGCCCTTATAGAATATGGATCATACCTTCCTCAAAGCCACAAATAATTCTTACCGCTTGCAGCAAAACCGAAGGATGCTGCGTAGGTCCTTGTGCCATAATTTAAAAAGCAACTAACACGTTATTGTTGCCAAATATTATGCAAACAAAGACTTCAATGCAAATCGGCTCAAAGTATTTACGTTAAAAAAAATCTCCAGATTTGGGACTACGAGCAACACCGCATGTGGTTGATATATAAAAAAGTTCCGTACTGATTTGCTTATAATTTCAATTTTTTACTAAGGTAAACAAGATGCAAATCCCTTTCCTGTCATTATCAATACTAAAGAGAAAATAAATAAAAAGTACTACTAATAATAATAATAATTCATTATGTATATCGATCGAATGTACGTACAGATCACTCCCCTTCTCGCAAGGACATGCATCTTGCACATCTACACATTATGACAAATACGGGTGGTGTTTGTCAGTATTTAACAGGAGCAGAAACAGCATCACGTCCTGCTGTGCCTAAATACGCAAAACACACCCAAGTGAAAGTTGACAAAAATAAACTATTAACAAGCAAATTTGTTAAGGACTTCAGTGACATTTTGCAGTTCAATAGAAAGGGTTTCTCATTAATGGCATATAAATTATGCAAGTTTAGTATTTGCATGCGATTCTCTAAATTGCATTTTTGTATTTGCAAAACAAACATGGGCACACGTTCTAATCATTTGATGTGTCCTTCTAATCTGTAGAACCCTTTCGCTATAGGAATGTCATGTTGTAGCAGTAATTGAAGCCGAAATAAATCAAAATCCAAAGGTGTAGCTGCAATTTATTTCGAACTAATTTCCGATAACCTGCGGAGTTAATTTGGTTTTATTATATATTTTAACTAATATTAAATTATAATATAAGTCGGATAAGAAATGATTATTAAAATTAATTAACCATGTAGTTA